ATTATATAATTTTGAAATCTTATTCAAATTTATATTAAAATTGTTATTAAATAATTTAATTTCTTTTTAAATGGTTCACTTACAGAGTCAAACTAATTTAACTTATATTTTCTAATATAAAMTAATCAATAATTTCCTTTTTCCAATATTATAATAATTTATCTTAATAATTTGTGTAATTATTGGTTCAAATTATAGTTTTCCCCTTTTTGTACTCATTTATCTTTAATAATTTACAATAATTTACAATAATTTACAATGAAAATTATATAATTTTTCAATAGATTTCCAAAATCTATCTAATGTAATAAATTTTCCTAAAATTTAATTATATAATACATTTTAAATAAACTTTCAAAAATTCTATATATTTTAATTTCCAAAATGTTATTTTACAAAAACGTAGTTTTATGAAAATTTTTGAAAAATTTATTGCGTTTGTATAATTATGGAGATTTAATAAAAAATATTTTAAATTATTAAATATTTATTTTTATTAGGTAGTTTGCTAACAAAATTACATTAATTTATCCTTTATTTTCCAATATAAATTAATTAATAATTTTATTTTCCAACATTATAATATTTTATTCCCTCATATGCATTCGATTATTAACTATAATAATAGCAATAACTAAAATTTTACACTTTTTCATAATTGTTAAATATAATTCTCAATTTTATAGAACTAGTTAAAGAATTTTCAATTTTTATAAAATGTTGTTAATTAACATGAGTATAACACTATTTACCAAAAATACTTTAAAAAGTCATGATGAATTAATAATATTATTTATTTATTTTTAGTAATTTACTAACCGTATTAATATAAATATTTAAGTTTTGGTAATTTATTAACTTTTGCTAATAACACTATTTAATACTCATTGAATATGGATTGGATTAAATATTAACTGTATTTAACTATTTATTAATTAATATAAATATTTTAAATGATAGAGAGTGGATATAGATGGAGGGAGAGATTTTAGGAATTGATTGGGGAGTGGGGTAACATAATATGTTCCTAATGGCTTAGAGGAGATACCTTAGCAATTCACACAAGGAAAATATTTGGCTCTTTCTACTTTCTATTATTATTTTACACATTAATTTTAGGATTTCAGATAAGAATTTAGGGTCTATTTGGTTTTGTAGTCAGGACTGAATTGGAATTGGAATTGAAATCTTTCAGAATTGGAATTGGAACCGGAATGATCTATTCCTGTTGTCTGGTTCAAAGAAGAATGAGAATGAAAATTGGAATCAATAGGAATATGATTTCATTCTCAAGAAAGGGGGAGGGAATCCACCAGGAATGGAAATAGGGTTTCAATTCCATCAAATCAAACAGTTAGAATATTCCGATTCCAATTTCAGATCCCTATTCTTGTGAATCAAACAAGGGCTTAAAGTTTAGACTTTAGGGTTTAAGATTTAAGAATTTGAAATTTAAAGTTTAGATTTTAGGGTTTAAGGGATTAAGATTTAACATTAAGGAATAGATACTTAAGTTTAAGGTTAGAGAAGAAAAGTAACGGAGAGAAGGTAAATGACGTCATCTTTATAGGGTACAGGACCAAACGTGAGTCAGCACTCTGCGGTGACCCACATAACTTGCCATCTGTAGACTGTAGACTGTGTAGTACCCCATTCTTGACAGCGGAACTGGAACATATTAGGCCCCAAACCTGTAGCCTGTATACATAGATAGAGGTCCACTGTTCCACTTCCAAGATGTTACCATAAGGCAGGGAACCCAAGTTTCGGAAAATTTTCCACGGCAAAAAGAAGAGTTGAACTGAGATCACATCAGCGCCGTACATACACATTTCAGTATGCATTGCAAACATTTCTTAGAGATGTTCTCAATACACGGTTGGATGTGCTGTGAAGCATTATGGGGCGTCGATGAAACAGACAATAGTAGTCCAAACAGGCTTTTCCTTACCTTTTCTTTCAAATCAAATATAGCTAAATAAAAAATCAAACAGACAATAATCCAAATAGGCTTTTTTTTTGTTCTTTTATTTAGGACATGAAAAACGTGCAAACTCATGGGAAAGAAAAACAAATACGTGCACACGATATTCATTCTTCCCACCCAGTACAAGAAGAATATATTCTACCCATTACAAGAAGAATATAGAGGTTTTATTGTTCATTCCACCCCAACAAATATAGGGGTTTTGAATTGTTGTAGGTGGAGTGCAACAGTGTAGTTATCCCAAGAATATATATTGTTTTATAGTCAAATGAGCTACATATAGGCCTTATAGGTGTTGCAAGTTGGGTATCTTTTTTTTTTTTGTTTTTGGTAAAAGTATTTATGTTAAAAGGAACCGAGAAAAACACTAAGGATACATAATGATCCCTTAAAAAAATATTGGCAGCTTGAGGGGATAGGAAGCAAAAACATAAGATTTGCGCACTCTTGCTAGTTTAGCTATATCATGGGTCTTAGTGACTGCAGACCTATTAACATATACCAGTTTTATAGTAACAAAAAAGGATATGTGTGCATGGATAGCTTGGATATCCCCTCTAATGTTTCCTTCGGTTCCTTTTAATGACAAATGAGAAGCTTTGGCATCTAAAAAGAGAGTTGCTTTTGTCATGTCATGTTTCAACAGGTATTTGAGGCCTCTAGCAATCGCCCACATCTTTGCTACTGTTGGGGAAGAGGCCAAGCATGGTTGTCCTTCTACAAAAGAGCGATTAAGAGTGTAAGAAATAGAAACTAGCCCTGTAGGGGCATCCATGGTGCACGGGTCCCAGGGTCCATCTACCAATATAATATCTTCATGCGCATTGACCAGATTAGGGAGATCCAGGGGAGGCTCATGGGTTGCGGCTTGCTGGTTGTTTGGGCTCGGAAGCTGCAACTTGCAGTATGAGTTGGCTCTTCTGAGAACAACCGATGGAACTGGGTTTTCACTGTTGAAGATTGTAGCATTTCTGGTATCCCAGATAGCACGGAAGATGGAGATAATGTGTGCCAGAAAAACCTTTCGGTCTTCTTTTGTTACTACCATTCCATTGTAGGTGCACCACCAGGTTAGGACATCCCTGGAGCCTGACATTAGGAAGGCTTCAGGGTTGAAGCCAACATAGGCTTGTAACCAAACTTCTCTTGTGAACGGGCATTGTAGAAAGAGATGGGCTTGAGTTTCAACTTCATCTCCACAGAAGGAACAATTTACTTCATTGTTTCTAATGGCACTCCATGTGTTTGATTTGGTTTTGACTGCATTATGTAGGAATTTCCATATGAATAATGGACACCAAAAAGGAGCCTTGTTTGACCAAATCTTTGTCCATTTGATTACAGTTGCATCAGCCTGCACACCATCTTGTAAGAAGGCCAAATAGGCTGATTTTACTATGAAGTCCCCATTGCTCGAGATCAGCCAAAGAAGCCGGTCCACAGAGGCTGGGCTGTTGATGTGAATACTTTGAATGGCTTCTACTATCTCTGGTTCAAACCACTCTAGTAATTTATCGTTGTTCCAGCCTATACCTTCTGTTAAAAAGTCTTTAACTTTCATGGTGTTGTGGGGAATGATTCCTTCCTTGGGTCTCGGCTTATTATCTGATATTCCTGGGATCCAAGAATCCTTCAGAGCATCTATTGTGTCATTTGTCCCTACTTTCCAGCAAGCATGCAGTTTGAGTTCTGCTGTTAGTTTTAGGGAGCATTTCCACCACCATGAGTCTGACTGTCTACCCTTGCATTCAAATATGCTATTCTTCTTCTAGTATTTACCTTTGAGTTGGAGGGCCCATAGGGCATCAGTACTATTTATTAGTTTCCATACCTGTTTGGAGAAGAGAGCTTTATTAAAAGGTTCCATGAGTTTCAGGCCAAGTCCACCATCTTTCTTGCTGCGACAGATTTGTTTCCATCTAATGTTGTGTCCACCTTTGTTGTCTTTGCTTCCATTCCACCATAAATTCCTTTGGATTCTGTCGAATTCCTTGCAGACTACTGATGGAAGTAGGGTATTCAACATTGTGTACATGGGAATACTCTGTGCTACTACCTTGAGAAGAGTTAACCGGCCAGCTTGCACTACAAGAAAAATGGACTATGCCAGCAGTTGCAAAACCGCCGGCTTACCCCTTTAAACTGCCGCCTTAAACCTCAGCCGGCAATTTAGYGGTCGCCTACTTTGGCTCTGTCGGCCTAGCTCATGGCTGCCGGCTTAGGGATGAAATACCGCCAGCATAGTGTCCCAATCAAACCATCTATATGCCGACGGTTTTAAGTAAAATGCCAGCTTGATGAGGGACAAAAAGTGGCGGCTTTTAAAAACTGCCGTCTTACATGCTCAAAGCGGGTAGTTAATACCGCCGGGATAGTGTGAAGAAAAACAATGGAATGATCTGCCAGCTTCTCACAACCGCCGGCACAGACCCATGTTATTTTAAAAAGTTTCACTATGGCGGCAGTAACGACCGCTGACATAGGTTAACTATTTTAAAAAATATATATATATTTTACACTATTACTAGTGGTGATGAGCGCCGACACAAGTCATGTTTATTTAAAGACACTTTTTTTAATGCCAAATGCAGAGTTACCCATTTAAAGTCCCTTTGCTATCATAACCAATGGCACCTTAAAATTGTCTTTTTTAATATTCTCATAAAATTGATTTTGACATCAACAAATTTATCCTCCAATATTTAACTCAATGTTTCAAACCATCGAAATAGTGAATGTAAAATGGACTGTGGATAGCTAGGGAAACTAAATGGACAGCCACAATGGTAAACATCGATAGCTCTATGGTAGAAAAACGGGGAAAGAAAGATTAAGGAAATAATCTAGAAAGCTCATGCAAAGTTGGCTATTGTGCCAAGAGAATCAGCTCTAAGATTAGAGGACATTGATTCGCCAGTGATTGATGAGTCAGTTGATAATGCCAATTGTTTCTATACTATTTCACACACTTTTTCCATAGTCTCGACTTTTTCCTTCTCATAAAACAAACACCTTAATCACCAATTATATCATTAGAGCAAACATCAGAGGAAATAGCTTACATGTATGGACAACTCATATAAAATGTACTAGGTTTAGTAAGATCCAACTAAATTAGGATTGACTATAATTTTGTTGAAGAGCACATGCTATAAAGAGGAATACAAGATAGTAAAGAGCTTGAGCGCCTCATCAAATCTCATTCAACTTAACTGGTGCCCTCACTTCTCTTGTAGGGAACGGTAACAAGATAGGCAGAGCTGCTTTGGTGGCCATAGCATCTTCAGGAATTTTGGGTCACCAGTCCCCAAAGACTCCTCTTCTTTTAGCCTTTCATTTACTTTGTTGTGTGTATCCCATATGTCTTGTTGAAAGGATAAGGAACACTACAAAGAAAATAAAATCCTAGTGAGAAGGTATTAAGAGAATCTACAGAATGTGAAGATAACCAATTAGAAGCAACTTAGGTGCCCTCACATTGAATATGTCTTAGAAATGTCTGTGGCACTCTTGGCATATGAAAAAGTTGAGTGAAATCAAAAAATTGTTGTAAACTCTATGTGGCTTTCTCCATTTTCTAGCCTAATAGATAGGGATTTTAATAGAACCCATAACCCACACCTGCAAAGCAACAAAAAACTAACTGAGCCAAACATAAACTCCACTTTCAAACCTTAAGCTCAAACCTTACCTTCTAGCAGATAGATTGGAAAAAAAAAAAAACTATGTAAGAAGGTAAATATAGATCTCATAAAATACCTTCCACCTTCTAACCATGCAACAATCTTGGGGTTATCCACTTCATTAGAAGGGAATACCCTTGTATAACAAGCATGTACACCAGCAAACCAAAATAAATAGCAAATGCATCATCAAGATGTAAATATCATAATAATAAGTTAACTAACTTGCACAAAACCATTCATTTCCTGATCTACATTCCAGATGGCTAGATGCACATAAATATAAAGGCAATTGACAGAAAAGAGAGAGAATGGTGTTTAGTCTAAAATATTGCCATTTATGTCCAAACTACTCAGATAAGTGCTTATCTCCCTCTCAATGTGCTTGTTTACACCTCTAATTTCTACCAAAAAAACAAAAAAGGTTACATCTCTGATGGGTTCACTTTATATCTGAAATTTTTGTCTGACCAGCAAGACCCTCTTTGCTTGTTAATTGAAATCTAAACCATGTCAAATATTGTGTCTAGTTCAAAACTGCTGCTCTAATCAACTGTTACCTCCATTTTATCTTTCCTTTTTTGGGGCTTCAGCAAGCATTTTTGACAATATCACCAACTTAAGGATACGCATGCTGGCAGTTTTTTGAAATCATGGCTCAAAACCACTACCTTAGCCCAATCAAGCATATTATATTTCCCAGGAGAAGGAGCAAACCTATCATGTGGCAAATGTAAAGTTTAACCCAAAACAGAGTACTTTACAACTCAATGGGTTTCTATTGGTAAATTATACATGGAGTTTAGAATACATTACCCCTCCCCCATTCAAACATGACAACTAATCAAACAAGTTTATCTTTGAGTCTGAGTGAAAGAACGAAAGAGATGGTCTATGTTGTATGCCAAGACTGCTTATACTCAAACTTGGATTGTCCATAATAATAAATGAAGATGAACTTAACAAAGAATAACAATAACTCTAGTGAAGAAGATAACGACAGAAAAAGAGATTGACATCAAAACTAAGAGAATGACAGTTATACTACAAACACATATCAACTAAGAAAGCAAATATGAAAACCTCAACTGAACAACTTAAAGAACAAACTAAGATACAACCTTAAAAAAATACTCTCTAAGGCTGAAATTAAATGTGAGAGAAATTTTAACTAATAACTAGGAAAACAAAACAGTCATAGTTAGCTACCAATAACCAAACAACCTAACATTTAGATACCTATAAATCATGAATTAGCACACACTTATCAAACAATGTAAGATAATTAACAACTCAATCAAATGATTAATAATTATATAAGTAACTATCACAAAACAAAGTAATACTAAAAGAAAGCTTCATCAATATAAATCAAATTCAGTTTAGTGGACTTTCCTGTAGCTGCCAATTGGGAATACTTTAAATTTTGGCTAGGTATTGCATTGAACACACTAAAGTCCATTAATAAATTGCAATCTTGGTGAAGTACATCTCTCCACTCAATGCCTTCTTTGATAACCTTGAAAACACTTTACCTTCAAATGGATAGAAGCTTGGGTCTAACACTAGGTTAGCTACCCCATTATAAGGTAAGGTCCCAAAATAACTAACATCAAACTTATAATAAAAAGATTTTAACCAAAAGGGAGGAAAAAAAGATGAATGAAAACAGGATAGCATGTCCAATTCAAGAAATCACTGCTAAATAGGTGGAGAATTTAGAGGGGACCAGGGCAAATTAACAGTACAGGTGCTGGTGTTTGGAGCAAATCTATAGGTAGTGGATTTGGGGGAGGTGATGAAGGAAAATGGAACATAAATCCAATGCTAGAAAACTAAATATTTAAATAATAAAACTAAAAACTCAGCCATTGCAGGTTAAAGTTTTGGCTGCTAGCTATTGGCTACCATTTATCATTTAGAATCAAAATCTCGATCAGCGATTAATAGATGTTATTACAACTCACTCAAAGAAAGGTGAAATAAAAAAAAAAAAAAGAAACAATTGAACCATAAAATGCATAAAGAAGTAATATGGACCCAACACATACCACCATGAATTACTTGGTGGATTTTGGAGAAGTCTGGGACAAGAAATCCTCTATCTCGATGAGCCCAATGCGAAGTCCCCATAACATGGCATCCAATGCTACCCCACACGCTATTGCGCCATCACCGACAATAGGAACATCGAGAGGATTGACAGAGATGGCTACCATCAAAGCAAATTACCCACGAAGGTACAACAACGACCATCTCATCGATCTTCTTCTGAATGTTTGTTGATGTCCTCAGTCATTCATTTGCAGGCAAAGTTGGGTCCAAAGACTTAGTGCACCATAAGCTCTTCAATTAAGCAACTAGCTGTAGCCATAAAGGCAGATTCTTTGGATTTGCAAGTATGTGTCTACAGGAAATTCATAGTACGAGTGGTTTAAGAGGAGCACATTAATGATGCTGGTTGTGGTTTTAGGGCTTTTGTCACCTACCTCTTCTCCGCTTCCCATCATCACCTAATCTCAAAGATAAATCAAAATTTGGTGAAAAATAATGAGAAGACAATAACAAGCCTGAAGAAGAGAAACCAATCTAAGCAACTCCAAGCACATATTTGCACGATCTAATTGCTGGAAACCTTGCCCCTTGCGACATCGTTACATGTTAGGGATTAACGGGGTTCAAATTTAGGGCTGGAGTTGCACAAACGATGACTAGGGCTGCAACTTGAGAGAGAGAGAGAGAGAGAGAGCACCTCTAGTGGATCCGACAATGGCAATATGCATCAGCTGCAAGTTGGGGCGGCAGCCGGCAAATCTCTTCGAAATGGAGAAAGAGTGAAACAGTAAAAAAAAAAAAAATTCTCCAATATGTTTCTTAAATAATTAAACCGGAATTCCAATTAACCGGTTAGACCCGATTTACCCCCAAAAACTTCTTTATTTCAAACTCTTATCGGTGGGTCCTGAAAGACTGCCACCTTACGCACACCTGAACCGGCGATTTCAAATACCGCCGGCATTGCCCAATTTGCTTGTAGTGTTGGGATAGAAGTTTGGCTTGCCAGATTGCCAATCTCTTGTTTACCTTGTCCACAACTTCTCTGTGAGCTACTGTCTCGTTTTTCCCTACTGTCAGCCTTGCTCCGAGCTGTCTTGACATTCTTTCAAAGGTGATGAGGGTGCTTTTTATGTTGAGGAGAGATTCTGGAGTGGTTCTACTGGGAATGAGGCAGTTATCCACAAAGAGAAGGTGGGTGACTGGAGGCATATTTTTTGCAATCTGAATGCCTTGGATATTCCCATCCCGTTCTTCTTTGAAGAGCAGAACCGATAGAACCTACATTCCTAAAATAAACAGATATGGTGAGAGGGGGTCACCTTGTCGGAGACCCCTTTTTGTTGTGCAATGTTCAAAGGATCTTCCATTGATTTTGATGGAGAAAGCAGTTGTAGAGATACATTGCCATGTCATTTCACACCATTCTTCGGGGAACCCCATTTTTCTCATTGCATGTATTACGAAACGCCAACCCATTCTATCAAAGGCCTTGACCATGTCAATTTTTAGAGCAGCCCATTTCCTTTTGCCTTTTTGGGTCTTCAGCTTGTGGATGATTTGTGAGGGTTCATTTGAAAGAGTGCAGATTTGACTTTTTTGGGGGTATGGTGGTGAGGAAGCTTTTGTCTTCTTCTGAAATTTCCTTGAAAGGAAGCCCATCAAGCCAAGTTTGGGTAAAGTCTTCACTAACTCCACTTATATCAAGGGTTTGGTTTTTAAGGGAATCTGCAATCTTGTGAGGGCCTGAGATCCATTCTCCTTGCTTATTTTGAATCCATTCCAGACCATTCCATCTTTGTCTGAAATTTGATTTTTGATAGAAGAACTTGGTGTTCCTATCCCCTTCTTTTAGCCAGAGCTCTCTCGATTTTAACATCCAGAGTTGCTCTTCATATTTCAGCCTATTGTTGTACTGGGCTTCCAGTTCCTTGTACTTGCTTCCTGGTGTTGGCTTTCCTCTAAAATGTTGGCTTCCAGCTTTTTCAGTGTACTTGTGATATTTCCAAAGACCATTTTGTTCCATTGATTTAGCTCTTTTTTGATTGCTCTTAATTTTACTGTTATTCTGTAGGCCCTTGATTCTCTCACATTTCCTTTCCATTGTTTTTGGATAATTTCACTGCACTCCTCATGTTCTATCCACATTGGTAGGAAATGAAAGGGTTTTTTCTCATTGTGCTTTAGGGCCGAGGTGTTGAGTATGTGAGGGTTGTGGTCTGAGTTTACTGCAGGTAGGATTTGGAGTTTTGCTTCATGAAACCAGTCCAGCCACTATGTGCTAGCATAAGCCTTGTCTAACCTTTCTCTAACTCGTCTTTTTCCCGATTGGTTATTGGTTCATGTGAAGTAAGGACCAGAGCAGCCTAGATCAAGGAGACCAAAGTGGTCCACAAAGCTCTGCAAAGGTTGTGAGATGTGGATCCGACTACTTGAGCCCTCATAATCCGAGCTGGAAGTGATGTCATTAAAATCCCCAATCACTAGCCAGGGAGTGTTCAGGAGATAGTTTTTTGATGAGATTAGGGAGTTCCAATAAGCCTCTCTGTCACCTCTACTAGGTTGGCCATAGAGGAATAGGATAGTCCAGTTTAGGTACTAAGGATTTGATTCAACTCTCAGCTCTATGTGTCTCAGGGAGGAGTCAATAATTTTGATTAAAAGCCTATCCTTCCATCCACATAGAAGGCCACCACTTAATCCTCTAGCTCCAATGATTTTGAAATTGTGATAATGGTGTTTTTTGCAGAGAGTTTGGGAATCCTGCTCATTTAGTTTGGTTTTAGAAAGAAAGATTATGTCTGAGTTCCAAGTAGAGCACCAGTTTCTCAGGGTTCTTCGAGCCTCTCTTCCCTCCCCCCCCCCTATATTCCAGGCCAAAAGTTTCATGTTATAGTATAAAAGAATATAGTGAAAGGCAGGATAATACAAAATAAAATAATGAATTTTTAATATGAGCAAAATAGACAATAGTAGTGCATAAAAGGTGTCGAGTACCTTAATCAATACAGTAGGGATGGCTGTTGCTTGATGATCTTGCTTGTTAGAGGCAGAGTCCCAATTTTCTATCCACGTGGCATCCTCCAGGAGGTTCAGAGGTTCGAGAACAGTTGACGTTTGCTTCAAGTGGGGGCTCTCTTGGATTGGTATAGCTTTTTGTGGGTTCACCCTCTATTGGAGAATTATTATTCTTGAGGGCTGCTATCCAGCTCCTTATATAGGATCCATAGCTCGATTCTTTTCCTTCCAGATCCAATCATTTTCCTTTTTCAAGAAGCTTCTCTCCACAATAATCATATCCAGCCGAGAAGTCCATCATTGACACTTTGTAACGAGGAGGCCTACCTTTGCTTTTCTTCTATTGGGAATTAATTATGACGCAGCTATCTATTCTCATCTCTGAGTCCTGGATTTGCGCTAATTCAATAGCTCCACTTTGCATGAGGTTTGAGGGCCGACTTCCTCTCTTCTTCTTTCGAGTTGGGTTCTAGGTTGACTCGGAACGCTTCTGTTTAGATGATTCACCTCCCTCGGCGGGTTCTTGCTCTTTCACCTGTGAGTATGGCTTCCCTTGGCGATGCGTTGCTTGCTACATGCATTCTCCCGGAGCTTCTAGAGATCGATTCTCCATTTCTTTGATGACTTCTTCGTGCGGGACTCCAGGTGGGAGTTGCTTGCATTTCTTCCACTGGTGGCCAACCAAACCGCAATAGAAGCACAACTTTGTCAATCCGTCATACGCAAATCTAGTCCAAGTTGGTTTCTCAGTGTTTTTGAGAAAGAAATCACAAAATAGGGGTTTCCTCAGGTCTAGCTCCACGCGCATGCGGATTGCACGTCCTCGCGAAGGTTTGCCTGGGGAGACTGAGTATGGAGAGTCGAGTACTCTTCCAACTGGACTAACTAGAAGTTTACAGTTCTTCTCAAAAATATGGCTGCGAGGTGCATTTATGAGTTGAACCCATAAATTTTGGTGCCACAGTTTAATTTTCTCCCAGACTAATCCCTCACGCCATTTCGCTATCAACATCCAGCTTAAATGAATAAACCAGGGACCACCATTCAAAACTCGCTGCATGTCTTCCTCTTTGTCGAAAATGAACACCCAGCCTCCACTATCGTCGTGGTCAACTTCTACTCCCGTCGTCGGGTTCCATGCATTCCATACAAAAGTCTTTATGTTGTCTTCGTTCACTTGGATTCGTGGGAAGATTCTTCCCCGTAAAGTTCTTGCCACCACGTCAAGAGTTTCTGGTTCTATATTTAGTTCATAGACTGAGCCTAACTGTGTTGCATGTTGTGCCAGTTCCTCACCTAGCTCAGCGATTTGCCTATCCATTAAAATCTCTAGTGCTTCTGTCCTCGGTGGGTTTGAGACCTGATGCCTCTTTACAGCAATAACAACACCGTGCGAAGTTAGCTCGATATGAGTATCATGGAGGGGTGCAAACAAGAGAGAGGGAAAATGTTCCTCACAGTAGTTTAAGTGTTTGCAAAAAAGAAAAAAGTGAAGATAAGTTGGGTATCTAAATTTAGAAAATTTAGGTATTGAATGGTAGTTTCAATCCCTACCCACAAGTTGTTCCCACATCCCTACCCCTACCCATAGAACATCATAGCTGTTCATTGAAAATATCTCCCTTTAGGGGTGGAGCTAGGATTTTCTCTTGAGGGGGCTAAAGACTAGTAAACATAGATAGGAGGGCCAAAAGTTAGTAAACATGGACAGAGGAACCAAAATATAGGTAAGAGTTTAAGTGGGTATTGTGGGGATTTTTTGAGGTATAAGGGGGCCATGGCCCCCCTCCACCACCTTGGCTCTAAATTGAGATCTTCTACCAACAAAACATGTACCAACCCCTTACCAACTTGATCCAACACCACACATCTCACCATGAGACTGAGACCCACCATAAAAGTGGGACCTGCCATGTATGAGATGTGTGGTGTGAGATTATGCTGGTAGGTTGTTGGAATGACTTTTGTTGGCAGGTGATCCAAACTCCCCGGCTCCGCCCATGTCTCCCTTGTCATTCATGGAGAGATGTTCCCAATACATGGCGGTGATATTCTGTGGGTAGGGATGTGGGAACAATTTGTTAATAGCATAACCGGAGTGACTGAATGTGACTCATTCAAATTTTGACAAATGCCTAACCAAAACCCATCCATAGGATTCAATTTTGAATCTCCCATTACAGCCAGCCAAAGACCTTAGCAACAAGCTTGATGGCACTTTGGTTCACGATGGATGATTGATTGACGGTGCTTGTTGCATCCTTAGCATCCTTAGTCCCTTCATTTCTTATGTAATAATCGATCACCCAAAACCCAAGTAGTGTATTACTGTATTTTACTATATTTCTCTATAGAATAGAATCCTTGTTTTTCACTCTGCTAAAGTATGTGGAATCAAAGCATATAAGTGCAAGGGTTACATGCCATTAATTAATTGTGATTATTTCATGTGCATGAGGAGATGTACGCAATCAAATAGCACCAAAAGCCCACTTAAAAATCAGGGCAGAAAGTGATTGTTATACATTTCATATCTAAATACCTCTCATCCTAAGCTAAGGGTCCGTTTGGTTTGCAGTTGGAATTGGAATAGGAATCGGAATGGTCTATTCCATAGCCTGTTTAGTTCAGACAGGAATCAGAATGGGAATTGGAATCAACTGGAATGGGATTTCATTCCCAAGGGAGGGTGAGGAAATGGTCATTCCACTAAGAATAGAAATGAAATTCTAATTCCACCCAACCAAACAGTTGGAATCGGAATTGCCCATT